AGCCCCTTCCCCTGGTGGCTACAACCCGCACACACCAGGCTCAGGCATTGAGCAGAACTCCAGCGACTGGGTAACCACTGACATCCAGGTGAAGGTTCGGGATACCTACCTGGATACACAGGTGGTGGGGCAGACTGGCGTCATCCGCAGCGTCACGGTACGTGGGGCCCAGGGCATAGGTGGGCTGGCATCTTCTCCCTGTGCTCCTGATCTCTGTGGTTGCTTTTCCCTTTGTAACTGTCTGACCACATGGTCTAGCACCATCCATAGGTGGACAGACAGATGCGGAGAGGTTTGGATAGTGCCATGGGGCACTTAGAGCTGAGACCTGTGCCCGGGAACTGTGGCTAGCACATAGGTTTGTGGTTCTTTGTGTTATAGTTCTTTGAGAGATCACGTGCTGAGTGCCCTCTGAGCCAGGCGTGGGCTTGGTGTCAGGCACCCATAACCCCGAGGTCGCCTACTCAGGCTGCTGGCCTCTACCTTCCTTAGACTCCCCACATTCAGGGCTCAGGCTTGCCTGTCTCCTTCCACTCTGCGTCTAGTTAGGCCTCTCACCTTTCAGGGCAGCACCTGGGCCATTTCAGGCCTATGTCTTTCATGTCCATGTAACTATGTTATCTACTTGCTTTCTGCAAGCTTAGAAGTATACCCTGGTGTGAGGGTAAACTGGGGCTGGGAATGTAACTCATTGTTAGAGTACGGGCTTAACATGTAGGAGGCCTTGGGTTTGATCCCTGTCACCATTTTAAAAAAAGGAAACAACTGGGCTGGGGATTTAGCTCAGTGGTTCCACCGCCTGGCTCGCAAGTGCAAGGTCCTGAGTTCGATCCCTGTTACCAAAAGAAAAAAAAAGGAAACAACTGTATTCTGTTTCTCAGGAGTCCCAGTTCCTACATGAAGGCCCAGCACCTTGTTAACCATCAATAAATATTGATTGAATTAGTCCAACACCAGAGACTAAGGTAGCGCCCACCCTTGTCCTCAGAGACCTCACATTCTACTGGGGAGACAGACATGTCTCTAGACAGTGACAGTTGAATATTGGCAGAGTTGGGGTGAGGTCTGCACAGAGGGCAAGGTAAGTAGGAGGACCCAGAGGAGGCATTGTATGCACCTTCAGGGATTCAGGCTGGTTTTCTAGGGGAGACATCAGAGCCAAGTCCTGAAGGCTGAATAGGAGTAAGCTGAGGGAAAACAGGTTCCATGTGTTCCAAAAGGAGGGAATTGCACATGCAAAGGCCTATTGCTGAGGCAAAGCCTGGCACGATCAGGGAGCAGAAGTGTGTTTGTTGTGGCTAGAACATAAATAGCCAAGGGGAAGGTGAGCAGTGAGGCCAGAAAAGTGGCTGGGTAGGGGTCCTCGGGGGCTCTGGAGAAATCTAAGCAGGGAAGTGGTGGGCTCAGGTCTGTGGTTTGGAATTCGTTCTGTTAGTATCAGGGATGGGTTGGGCGGTGAGACTGCTGGCCCACAAGGCCAGGTGTGGTCAGGCTGCCCTGGGGCAGGGCCTCGTTGGGAGGGCTGAGTGGACAGGCCTCAGAGCTGGAGGGTTGTTGGTGTGGGAGGTGACAAAGACGAGGTCCAGAGCTTGGCTAGGGCCTGGGAACCATGAGGCTATCCCTGAGGCCAGCCCCAGGGGAAAGAGCAGATAGAAGCTGAGGCCACTTTGGGATATGAAGACTCATGTGCCTGAGAAGTAGTCCTAAGTGAGCCTCATTCTGGTTCTTTGGGGAGGTTTTTAGTAGTGTTTTTGTTTTTTTTGGTACCAGGATCGAACTCGGGTCCTTCCGCTTTTGAGGCAGGCAACAGAACCACTGAGCTAAATCCCCGGTCCTTTAGTAGTGTTTTTGTTTTTTGTTTTTTTCTTTTTTGGTACCAGGAATGGAACTCAGGGCTTCACACTTGCCAGGCAGGTGCTGTGCCACTGAGCTACATCCCCATCCCCTGTTTTTGCTTTTGAGAGAGGGTCTTGCCATATAGTTCAGGCAGGCCCAGAATTCACTATGTAGCCCAGGCTGGCCTTGAACCCACAACAATCCTCCTGCCTTAGCCTCCCAAGTGCTGCAATTACAGGTGTTCACCACCACCTGGTGTGAGCCTCATTTTGATTCTTCCCTTTCTGATCTGGTATCTCACAGACACATACACACACACCACCCTGCCCACCCACACAGCACAGGTCCAAGCCTTGGACCAGGCCCAGCCATGGTCTCCTTGCTCCTATGTGCCTTTGGGACTGAGTTTTCAGAGCGAGCCCAGAGCTTGTGTCCCTTGAAGGATGGGCGTCAGTCCTGTGTTGAGAACAGGACAGGCTGATGAGGCTGTCCCCCACCCCCCCCACATCCCGCAGGGAGGCATGTGCTCTGTGTACCTGAAGGACAGTGAAAAGGTCGTCAGCATTTCCAGTGAGCACCTGGAACCCATTACCCCCACCAAGAACAACAAGGTAGGGGTTGTGGCAGGGGTAGACATGGGGGTCGGGCTGCTGGCATGGACCCTGACGCCGGGTGTATGGCCCTCAGGTGAAGGTGATTCTGGGCGAGGATCGGGAAGCCACAGGAGTCCTGCTGAGCATCGACGGTGAGGATGGCATTGTCCGAATGGACCTTGACGAGCAACTCAAGATCCTCAACCTCCGCTTCCTGGGGAAGCTCCTGGAGGCCTGAGGCATTTGGGGGTGGTGGACGTCGTCAGCACATAACCTGGCAGATGAGAGCAAGCCTTTTCCCTCCCTGGCCCTTGACCCTGACAGAAACCTGGGCCTGGAGCAGGCTGATCATTCAAATGAGAGTTCTTATTTTTCCTTTCTGGGTTTCCATCTTTTCCCTCCCTGATGCTCATAGGAATCAGAGTAGAATTTGGGGAAGGGTCGCACCTTCTTAACACCCTCTATTCCTAGCTTGCTTTTGTGTTTTGGTCTTTCAATAAAAAGAAGTTGTTTGGTCAAATGTCCTCTGTGTGTGTGTGTGTGTGTGTGTATGTGTTGGACGTAGGTGGATCTCCTTTGTAAGTAGGATTATTTGTAGAGCCTATGTGCTTCCTTGCTGGTAGTTTGGAGGAAATAACTGGGTCCTACCTAAATCTCAGTTTCCTCATCTAGAAAATAATGACAGTGCCTATGCTAGAGGGCCCTTGAGAAGGATATGTATTTTTTTCTTATTTGTACATTTTAAAAATTTATTTTTATTTCTTTATTTCGGTACTGGGAATCAAACTCAGGACCTTGCACTTGCCAGGCAGGTACGGCGCCACTGAGCTACATCCCTGGCCTGGTACATTTTAGATATACATAATGATAACATTCATAGGGAATTTTTTTTTTTTTTTTTTGGTACCGGGGATCGAACTTGGGACCTTGCACTTGCGAGGCAGGCGCCAGAACCACTGAGCTAAATCCCCGGCCCAACATTCATAGGGACTTTGTACCCGTACATGATGTATCTTGCTGCTGCTTTTTTTCCCATTCCCCTCCCCTCCCTTCAACTCCTCTTCCCTTATTTACAAAAGCTTTGTTTCCATTTTTTCCTTGTATTCTATTTCTTGTCCTTTTTTCCTTTCCCCTTCCCCCTCCCTTGTTCCCCTTCTCATATATTTTATGTATATGTATGTGTACATGTATGTAATTTTTTTATAAAAACAAGAGTCTCACTATATACTTCAGGCTAGACTTAAACTCACTGTAGGCCAGCCTCAAACTCTTGGAGATCTCCTACCTCAGCTTCCCAAGTGCTAGGGTTACAGGCATGTATCACCATGCCATACCTTTTTTTTGGAGAGGGATATATAAGAAGACATTGAAAATAGATGATTGGAACATTTTGCCATGTGACAAAATTATACCACATCAGTCATGAGTTATGCTAAGTGAAAAATCACATTGTCCCCCATGAAACCTGAATTCTGCCAGTGGTGCAGGACGCTTAATAAAGGTTCTTTTCCTTGAGTCTTGAGAGCAGTGACACCATAATTGTTTGGTAACTTGGGAGCAGTGTAGAGAATGTACTTTTAATCTTTCCTCATCTGAAGTTCATGTGTTTATAAATGTAAATGCATTGTGAAATGTTTCAGATATCAAAAAAGATACAGCGTGTTCCCATCACCTGGTTTAGGAAATAATATGTACCGGCACTGTTAGCAGCACCCCCAGTCATTCCCTCCAGAAGTAACTGCGACCCTGAATTCCACGTGTCTCCTTTGCCGGACTTTGTACTTTTACTACTTTAGTACAGTTTGGTTTTTTTGTGTGTGTGTGGTACCAGGGATCGAACTTGGGTCCTTGTCCTTGCGAGGCGGGCAGCAGAACCACTGAGCTAAATCCCCGGCCCGTATTTTTTGTTTTTATAGTTTAGAGAAACCTGTATCGAATTGTTTCCCAATGAAAATAATTTGCACAACACTCATTAGGGCTTCCTGTAGCCGCAAACTTGATTTCTTGGTGGCCCTCAATAAGACCTGTTCCTTTGGCAGAGCCGGGAAGAGTGGTCATCTCTCTGGCTCCGCCCCCGTCTCCTTATAGAAACTCAGGGTAGGAGGAGCAAGAAGAGCTCCGAGGATGCGCGAGAGGGCAGATTTCGCCTTCCAGCTCCACTGAGCAAAAAAACTAGCGAGGGGGACTTTTCCGCCCGTTTTCTGAGCCTGTTTCCACTTCTGTCAATTAGCAGACAAGGCAGACCCCCTCAGTAGGAGAGCCGAGCTACCTGACTGGACAAATCAGGCAGCCATTGGGTTCCTTCATTATGGCCTCAGCCTTATCCCCGAGCAATGGGTGTGATCCCTGCCCCTCCACATCTCGTAGCAGGACGATGGGCGTTCTCTACGGCTCAAGGGGTCGCAAGGGGTCACGGTGCCAGGTGACTATACCTATTAACTTACGGGTAAAGCAATTGGAAGACACTTGTGGCAGTCCACCCGAAGCCGTTTGTCCCTCTCGGCTTCCCGTCCACCTTCCCCTCCTCCTCATTCCCATTGGCCGAAGCCCCAGTCGGGATGGGCAAAGGGGGACTGAGTGGGCGGGGCCGCATGGCGTCAGCGCAAAGATGGCGGCTTCTGCGGCGCTGTTCTCACGCTTGCGGAGCGGGCTCTTGCTCCGCGCGCGGGGGTTGTGCACGAGGCTGGCGACACCGCCCCCCCGGGCCTCAGAACAGGTGAGCCGAACCGGGTTGGCGCCCCGGGAACACAGACCTATCCTTGAAGTTCCAGACATACATCCCGCCCGTCAGTTCTGGGGTGCTGTACTCAGGGTGCTGAATGGAACGCCGCCCGCGCTTTGGGGAGCTCCCCTGGCTCCCGGGTGAATAACTTGTTTCCCACCCTGGATGCTAACGGCCCAAATGCAGCCTCTTGACACCTGCCTCCCCACGTGGGTGCTGGGCTAGGTCACTTGTTCCTCATTGTCAGGGGCCACCAAGTGATTCTAGGAGAGGGGCGCGGGACGCTAGGGTCCTAGTTTGGCCTTGGGGATATTTTCTCCGCGTTGCTGGTGGTGGTGAGGTAGATATCCGGATTTATATTAGACCTGCCTCCATGTTGACAGAGACCCAGCCATTCTGACCTCCAAGTCCATCACTTCCGTGCCCTATTTACCCGGGCTCCAGACTAGTGATTGCTTCTCCCTGCCCCCACGCCCTTCCCTTCCCCTGTATAGGCTGTTCCCTTGAACTCCAAGAATCTGGGAATTAACTCCACTTTCTGTCCCCTGTGTATTCTCTGCCTTCCTGCTACCTGCATCCCAGTTTTAGGGCTCCTAGTCCCTTATTTGACATGGTCTTGCTTTTCTGGGCTCCAGAACTCCAGTTCTGTTGCCTCTAGGACAACCCGACTTCTTAGTTCCTAAACCCTTGGGGTTGTCTCCCCAGAAGTTTTGACCCTCCGAAGGAACTGACCTCTCAACTACCCCTTCAGTGACAACACTAGGTTTCAGTGATGACTTCCTGGCTCTTTTTTTTTAGTCTAACCCTAACCCTGGCTATTTTTAGTTCAAGCTGGTCTTGAACTCACTATGTAGCCCAGGCTGGCCAGTGATCCTCTTGACTCACCCTCCTGTGGTGCTGGGCACTTCGTGGCTCTTGCTCTTGATTCTACTTGGACCAGAGTAGAGACCAGAGTATTGTGACCTTTTCTCTGGTCTGTCTTGGCTGATCGCTCCTTTCTCCATCACAGGCTGCAGAGATCGGAAGCCGTGGGGGTGCTAAGGCCCAGGGGTCACAGCAGCAGTCAGGCTCAGAAGGTCCCAGCTACGCTAAAAAAGTTGCACTCTGGCTTGCTGGTTTGCTGGGGGCCGGTGGAACCGTGAGCATCGTCTATATTTTTGGTGAGGGACATAACCCCTGCCCCTTAATTATGTTCTCTAGGCCTCCTGAATTCCACTGTGGAAACTTCCCCTCTTTCTGCCTCCCTCAGTAGGTGATATTTGGACATCTATCTTGCAAACCACAGAAATCTCCTTTCTTTTCCATTCCATACTTCTGCTTAAGGTTCTACCCACTTTAGTTGGTTCCTATACCAGGCTACAGGGAACAGTTTGGTAGAGGGGAAGATGGGGTAGGATAGGCCTGGACCAGCCTCGTAAGTTATGTCTTCCCTCAGCACCCAGAAGTCCAACCTTTCCCTTCGTCCCTTCATTTCTCAAAGACCCAGCCTCAGCTCTTTTTCTCTTCCAAAGACTCAGGAATCCAGGCTCCTAGATGCCCGTTCCCTTGAATCCAGGAGGCTATGCCTTCCAGCCCTCTTCCTTCAGACCCAGGCATTGCCTCTGTCCTGAAGACCCAGGAGACTGGGCTCCAATTTCGCTCACTCCTTCTTGTCTCTTGCAGGAAACAACCCTGTGGATGAAACCGGTGCCAAGGTGAGGGAAAGAGACCCAAAGACCTTGCAAGGAGCCCATCCTGTGGGTGTGAGGGTGGACTCCCTTCAGCCTGCTAGGCTCATTTCTGGTCTGGACTGAGCCTTCCAGGGACCTCTGCCTTCTCTCAGAAGCTTGGAATTCCTTTTGTGGGTTCCTTTTCTGGGTGCTATGGGATCCTGCTCCTCCTATATCAAACTTTCCATTTTTCTCTCAACCTCTTAGATTCCGGATGAATTCGACAGTGGTGAGTAAACACCACAGATTCCCCTGGCCCTCCTGACTGTGCCCCTTGTAGGCATGTTGCCCTCCCTATCTGGTTCCCTCCCTGTCCCTCCTTCCATGGGGTGTGTGGGGAGCCAGCAGCTGGATGGCTGGTGGGGGAGGGGGATTAAAAGCCCCACACCCCTTCGCTGGCCCCTCATCCCAGGAGCAGATGGTCTGGGACAGATGGGGGAGGGGAGCCTGCGTGGGAGGGCCTGGGGAGACAGAGCAGCCTATCCCCAGACACTGGGCTTCCTGTGCCTTAGATCTGCGCATCTGCAGCCCCTTACCCCCTCCTCTTTTTGACAGTCTCTTTTTTTTCTTCTACTCTTAAGCCTCTGCACCATCCACCATCCGGCTGCTCATTTCCAAAACAATGCCTCCTTCCTCCCTCCCCCTCTGGTTAACCAGCTTTTGGTGGGGAGCCTCTGACAAATTGGATAGTAGAGAGTAGTTGTCAATTCCATTACACCTGGCCCTTCCCAGGAGAAAAGTAAAACTGGTGTGTCAAGAAAGCCACCTTGGGCTGGGGATTTAGCTCAGTGGTTCCAGAGCCTGCCTCGAAAGCGCAAAGGCCTGAGTTCAATCCCCGGTACCAAAAAAAACCCAAACAAATAAAGCCACCTGTTTGTGCTGGGGAAGTTTGCAAACAGGCTTGTTAATACACTGATTGTTTTACACTGGGCAGGTGGGGTAAGTATGCTGTTTTTACCTGAACCGAGGTAGAATCCTAGTAGTGTTAAGTCAATATACTTATTTAAATTGGTCAGGAAGAGGCCCAGGGATTTAGCTCAGTGGCGCCCTCCCTGCCTTGCAAGTGCAAGGTCCTGAGTTTGATCCCCGGTACCAAAAAAAAAAAAAAAAAGCATGCTTAGCCAAGTGGTGGCACGTGCTACTTTAGGCTGATGTATAAATGTTCTGTTTTATACCTGGCATGGTGTGTGGCTACAAGTATTCGGGTTAAAACTAGGCAAGTGAATATATATTTTTGTTCCTACCTGGTGCTATGGCTTTGCCTTCTTCCTTTGGATCTAGAAATAAGTTCAGACCAGGTGGGTATGTGGACCTGTTTGTATCTGGTAGATCATAAACCTCTGGAACGGTGAGCAGGAGCTTATCTTGCAATCTCTTTGTGCCTGGTGTTCTAGATCCAATTCTGGTACAGCAATTGCGCCGAACATACAAATATTTCAAAGATTATAGACAGGTGAGTAGGAGCCTGACCCAGTCCCCCTCCCTCTAGACTGAACCCCTGGCCTCTCTGCTGAACATACCTGTTCTCTTCCTCTCCTGCAGATGATCATTGAGCCCACAAGCCCTTGCCTTCTCCCAGACCCTCTGCAGGAGCCGTACTACCAGCCCCCCTACACGCTTGTCCTGGAGCTCACTGGTGTCCTCTTGCACCCTGAGTGGTCGGTGTGTCTCGGGGAAAGCAGCGGGTTGGGGATGGACCTAGGCAGCCAGGTGATGCTGTGGGACTGGCCCCAGCTCTGGTGTGTGATCTTGCGGAGGAGTCATTCCCTCCTACTGCCTCATTTTCCTCAATACCCACTCTGTAGGATTGTCATGGGTGTGCCTCGGCCACAGGAAGTGTGCCAAAAAGGAATCAGCTCTTAACCAGATGTGGTGGCATACGCCTTTAATACCAACTCTCTGGGAGGCCAAAGCAGGAGAAACACAAGTTTAAGTGCAGTCTGGGGAATTTAGACCCTCAAAATAGAAAAAGGGGTGGGGCTGTAGCTCAGTATGAAGGGCCTGAGTTCAGTTCCTAGTACTGCAAAAAAAAGTGTCAGCTCTTGTTTAGACTCTTAACAGCTCCTGTACTCCTGAATCCCCAAAGAGCAAAGAGAACCCTGGTTCTGGGAATCCCTCAGGCAGGGCCTGGGTCCTCTGGGAGCCTCTTGGCTTCAGTGTTTCACTGTCCTCCCTGTCTCCCCAGCTGGCCACTGGCTGGAGATTTAAGAAGCGCCCAGGCATCGAGACCTTGTTCCAGCAGCTTGCCCCTTTATATGAAATCGTCATCTTTACTTCGGAGACTGGCATGGTGAGGCTCTGGGGCAGAGCAGACCTTGCTGGTGTGACAGATGTACAGAACTGTGGGGCCAGGTCCAGCTTGACCTCTTCTTGGTTCCTCCTAGACTGCATTTCCACTCATCGATAGTGTAGACCCTCACGGCTTCATCTCCTACCGCCTGTTCCGGGATGCCACGAGATACATGGATGGGCACCATGTTAAGGTGCCATGTCTGGGTTACGGTGGGCCTCAAGGGTCGATGTAGGGGTGCTAGCACTGGCTGAGAGAAAGGGCATCCAGTTTGAATCCCATCTTCAATCCTACTGTGGTTCTGTCCAGACTGAGTCGTCTCCATAGGACATGAGCCAGCTTCCAGGTTGGGGGCGGGGCTTTAGGCTCTTCTTTCCCTAGAATCTAGAGAGGGGCAGTTTTGGAAAGTAGGTTCTCCCTAAAGAAGACAGTTGAGTTAGACATGATGGCGCACACCTGTAATCACAGCATTCAGGAGCCTGAAGCCAGAGAACTACCACAAGTTCCAGGCCAGCCTGAACTACATAAGTGAGACCCTGTCTCTAAAAAAAAGTCATCTAGGGCCCGGTGGGGTGGTGCACATCTGTAATTCCAGCACTATGAGAGGCTGAGTTTGAGGCCCACCTGGGCCCATAACAACTTAGCAAGAACCTGTTTTCAAAATGTAAAAAGCTGGGATGTAGCTCAGCACTGTGACTGAGTCTGTAACTGCATGTTTCAGAGACTGTAATTGCCACAGCTGCTGCAAGCCTATGTTTAGGGGTGGTTTGGCTTGAGATCTTTTCTCATTCAGGGCTCTGGGTCTAGCTACAAGTACCTACATGTCCAGGTGTCTTTTGGTTTCTGTATGGGTCTTGATGGGCCTGGGTGTCTGTGTTGTCGGGGTGTCAGCAGTACCTGGGCTGTGACCAGAGGGTGGTGTGTTGGGGGGTGTCCGCCCTTGTTTGACATGGCTCTGTCTGCACCTCTCTGGGTGAGAGGTTCTCACACCTGCAGTGTTTCACAGTCACGTAGGCCAATGTGCACTTCCTTCTCAGGATAACTCAGTCCACATTGTGTGAGGCTCTGCACCCCAGCTCCCTGAGAAGCTGAGACTGACCTGCTGTGGTGATCGAAGTGTGCCCGATGCTGTGTGAGTGTGTTTGGCTTTGGGGGTCCAGATGATGACGAGACCCATCACTGCTTCCAGGACATTTCGTGTCTGAATCGGGACCCGGCCCGTGTGGTCATTGTGGACTGCAAGAAAGAAGCCTTCCGCTTACAGCCCTACAATGGTGTTGCCCTGCGGCCCTGGGATGGCAACTCCGATGACCGGGTCTTGTTGGACCTGTCTGCCTTCCTGAAGAGTGAGACTGACCCCTAACCTCCTGGCCTCTGAGCCCAGTCTTCAAGACCATGACAGAATCTTGAGTCTGGGTTGTGTGGTTTTTTTGTTTTGTTTTGTTTTGGTACCGGGGATTGAACTCGGGACCTTGTGCTTGTGAGGCAGGTGGCAGAACCACTGAACTAAATCCCTGGCCCAGTTGGGTTGTGTTGTAGAACTGAGCAGTCGAGGTACAGGAGTCCATGAGGAGCTTCTGGAAAATCCAGTTCTCCTCAGGCACATTTATGGGCTACGGGGGAAGGTTCAAGGGAGCCTTTTCAGAGCATTGAGAAGGATTCCAGGGAGTGCTGACCCCAGGTCTGACCTTTGCCCTGTGGGTGCACCTCTCTCCAGTCTCAGCAGCCTGGCTAACCCCCCTGTTGTGCCTGCAGCCATTGCACTGAACCAAGTGGAGGACGTCCGAACTGTGTTGGAGCACTACGCCCTGGAGGATGACCCGCTGGAGGCTTTCAAACAGCGACAGAGCCAGCTTGAGCAGGTTGGGGCTCAGATCCCCACTGTGGGGGTCACTTGTGGGGCTCCCCAGGACTGTGACACAGCCTGTCTCATTGTACTGGTGTAAACAGGGTGGGTTGGTCCTGCAGCCTGTTCTCAGACAGGCCGGAATGATAAGCACTGGGGTGATCTGAGAGGGCACTCTCGGTGGTCAGTTCTGGGGGCACAGCATGGAGGTGGACTGAGAGTTTAGATCAAGTCTTGAAAGAGGCATCTTGGGCCATGAGTCTAAGGAAGGAGTTTACTGGTCTTGAAGGGACCCCTGCAGTTTTGCTTTTTTTTTGTACTGGGGATTGAACTTGGGACCTTTCACTTTCAAAGCAGGTGTGGCACCACTGAGCTAAATCCCTGGCCCTGCAATTTTTGTTTTGTTCTTTCTTTTCATTTTTTGAGATAGGGACTCACTACGTAGCTCACTATGTAGCTCACTACAAGCCTTAAGCTTGTAGTTTCCTGCCCCAGCCTCCTGAGTGCTGGTGTTACAGATATGTGCCACCATGCCTGGGGACTCTAGCAAGTGGAAGTGGGGCAGAGAGTACAGATTGAGTCTGAGACAAGCTGGAGGTGTAGGCTAAGGCTGACCAGATTCTAGGTTCGGTTCCTGGGGGAAGGCTGGGGTCCTCAGCATCCAGACTGGGATTATGGGGCTCAGGGCTGGGCCCCGGGAGTGCAGGACCATGTGATCTGGTGAAGGCTGTGGGGTTTGGGCTTGGCATCTCGCCATCGTCTAGGTTGGGCTATAGAGTCTGCCATAGGTCCCCAGGCTTCAAAGGAGGGGTCCCTGGGATCTGGAGAAGGGGATTATGAGCGTTTGGGGCCTGAGAAACTGCTGAGGTTCAGGGCTAAAAACTCAGAGCCTGGGGTGTGAGTCTGGTGTCTCCAGACCTTGGAGCCTGGGCCCTGGGTCAACCCTTGGGCCCAAGGGTCAGATTGACCCTTGCCAGTGTCTTCGCTGGGAGTGAGGGGTCTGATCCCCTTTGTGTGGGGTGGGGTGGTGTTAGTTTAGGGAGGGTAGTCTGGGCTAAAGGAACGATGGCCCCTGGGCCGAGGGCTGGCAACCTGGGAGTCTGGGAGGAAGCTCTGCCCTCTCTGTGCTAACCTTCCTCTTTCTGTCCCCCGGCCCCAGGAGGAGCAGCAGCGCCTGGCCGAGCTCTCCAAGTCCAACAAGCAGAACCTCTTCTTCAGCTCCCTCACCAGCCGCTTGTGGCCTCGCTCTAAACAGCCCTGACCGCTGGGCCTCCTCAAACTCAGTGCCTGGGTCCCCCGGGGCCCCAGGGCTCCCAGACCAAGGGTGGGGCAGCCACAGGTCCAATAAAGTGCATCCCAGATGTCACAGCTCCTGTGTCCGGAGAGTCTCCAGGTGGGGCATCGGGGTGAGGTCCTGCAGCAGCTGACCGGCAGCCAAGCATAGTGGGTGCTTTGTTGGATCAGGGCTGCTGCTTAATCCTGGCCTGGGAATCTGAAAACCTGGGTCTCTGCTCGGCTGTGTCTTCCCATAGGCTGTGTCATCTGCAAAAAGTGCATCTCCCTTCCTGGCTCCATTCCTTGTGTAAGGAAAGTGAAGGGAGGGGGTTTTAAAGACAGACAGCTGCATGGAATGGAAGTGAAGTGAGCAGCTATGCTCTGGTGGACTGGCAATCACTGAATCTCAGGAGAGCAGCTGCTGCTTAGTTCCAGACCACTCTGGCCTAGGAGAGAAATGGGCCTGCAGTCATTTGGTCTTCCAGTTTTTTGTAACAGAAGGCAGAAATTGAGATTTTTATTATTTCATTTTTATTTATGTATTTATTTTTTGAGGAAGATCTCACTGTGTTGGTTAGGCTGCTGTCAAACAGGGCTCAAGTGATCCTCCTGAGGAGCTGCGACTGCAGGTGTGCTGTCACGCCCAGCTAGAAATTAGGATTTTAATGTTGATTCTTGCTCTTTTCATTTATTTACTCATTTTGCAGTGCTGGGGATGGAACCCAGGGCCTTGTGCGTGCTAGACAAGTGCTATAGCATTGAGCAACACTTCAGCCCACCTCTCCCTGTTTTTGTGTCGTCCCTGACTAAACCCACTGACTGGGGCAGTGCTCAGCAGTGGCACTGTCTGTCCCTGTGCTGTCCAGTATGGTGACCGCCTGCCATGTGGGGCTGTTAGTAGTCGATGTGTGGCTAGTGTGAGTGACAAACTGAAAATTGTTTTTGCAGTGATGGGGACTGCACGCAGGGGTATCCTACTGAGTTACATTTCCAGTCATTTCTATTTTTTGAGACAGTCCCTAAGTTGCCCAGGCTAGCCTTGAACTTGTGTTCCTCATGTTTCAGCCTCTCAAGTACCTGGGATTATAGGTATGTACCACTGTACCTGGCATGACCTGAATTTATTATTTTTTGTGGTACTGGGGATTGAACTTGGGGCCTTTGCGCTGAGCTACATCCCCAGCTATTTTTTATTTTGAGGCAGGGTTTTGCTAAGTTGCCCACACTGGGCTCAAACCTCTGATCCTCCTGCTTCAGCTTTCCAGGGTGCTGGGACTACAGGCGCATGCAACCATGTCCAGGTCTGAATTTTAAAAATTTAAACATGCCCTGGCTTTTGCATTGGATAGCATAGCTATATTAAGAGTAGATTCTAGGGCCGGGGATTTAGCTCAGTGGTTTCGTCACCTGCTGCGGAAGCGCAAGGACCCCAGTTCAATCCCCAGTACCAAAAAAAACCAAAGAGTATAGATTCTAGACTAGTGGTGAATCTATGGTGTGCCGCAGCAGGCTGTTAACACTGAAAGCTCTAAAAGGTCGCCATCACTCTTCTAGACTACCCAGGTTTAAATCCAAGCTCTGCCTTCCTGGCTGGCTGTGTGACCATGGACAAGTTACTCCACCTCTCAGTGCCTCAGATCCTACATCTACAAAGTAATAGATCCTCTAGCCTTGGCTTGAGGGCTAAGGCCCTCCCTCGTAAGCACTTCATGAACTTTAGGTGAGACACATCTTGGCCTTAGTTGCCTCATCTCTAGAATGGTTGCCAGGAACAATGAGGTAACCCATACCCTGGTTGTATGTGCACACAAGGAGTGTGCTGTTTGTAGGCCGTATTGGGTGTTCACAGATGAAATACCCTGGACCTTTTTTGTAGGGGGATAGCTACTAGGGATTGAACCCATGGCCTTCACACCGAGCTGTGTCCCATCTGAATACCACCCCCCCCCCTTTTTTTTTGGTACCAGGGATCAAACGTGGGTCCTTGTGCTTGCGCAGCAGGCGGCGAAACCACTGAGCTAAATCCCTGGCCCTACCCCTTTTTAATATTTCATTTTGGCTGAGATGCTCAGGCAGGGCTTGAGCTTGCAATCCTCCTGCTTCAGCCTCCCATCAAGCTGGGGCTACATGTGTGTCTCTAGTAGTGCCTGGCTTGGACCTTTCTTACTTGAACTGGCTCCCACATGAGCCTCTTCACTCTGGCCAGCACCAAGTGCTAGTACTGATAAATATTTTTGGGTTTTTTTGTTTCTGTACCGGGGATCAAACTTGGGACCTTGCACTTGCGAGGCAGGTGGTGGAACCACTGGGCTAAATCCCTGGCCCTGATAATTATTTTTAAAAGACCTTCCCTGGTATTTCATAAGATCGTTAAAATGCATTTGGAACCATGGGTCAGACTGAACCTGTGCAGTGTACATTGTTGAAAGGGCTCAGAAATGTCTGCAAAGAATTAAAATCTGCATCACAACTTCCAGTCCTGGGAGTTCTGTCCTGAAGAGAGGTGTCCCCGTGTCCACAGGGTGTCCCTTACATGGGGCAAGTTGGGCATCAAGGAAGGGCCACATTTGCTTTGCACATGGCTTTGAGAGGTAAAAACTGTCCTAATGGGAGGCAGAGGTGCAGCTGAAGCTTTTGTGTCTGTAGAATGTGGTCCTGGGGAGTGAGATGGACAGAGAGGGGACACCAGCAGTTAGCCAACGTGAGGACTTGCTGTGTCCCAAGGAACCTGAGAGACCTTTTCAAATGTGGCCCAGGCCTGTTGGCTCACCAGGGCATGAAAGGAAGTGTATCTGCTGGCCCTTGGGCATTACGGCTTTGGCGCTCTGGGTGGCTCAGGCTTCAGTGCCCACTGGGCTCTCAGATCTCTCTACCTTGGTGCTGGCTCAGCCCTCGGTGCTGTCAGGTCGCACGTGCTAGAAGCTGGTGAAGGGGAGAAGAGGATTTTACATGCACATGGTCCCTGAGACACACATGGCCCAGGGTGTCTCTACAATGCTCTGGACACAGGGCTTTAGGGTGTCACAGTCTCTGATGGGCACAGGCAGGACTGTGCCAGCATTAGGGCATCCACAACAGGTTCTGAATTCCCTGGTCCCATTGTGCAGGTGCCCTGTGCCCTGTGGCCTTGGGCAAGGTCTTCACATCTGCTCCCTCATCCATAAGGGCTTAATAGTAGTCCCTCTTTGTTCATTCACAAATTCACATATGCTTGAGAGCGTAGACTTCAGCCCCCTCTACACACTGGGGTGCATCAGTGAACGAACAGGTAGAAAGCTGAGTCTTTGTCAAACTGTTGTTTCTGATAGAGGCAGACAATGCTCAAGTATTTCTTGGTAATAAATCCATAAGGAAAAATATGGTGAGGTAACAGTGGTTGAGGCTTGGATGGAAGAGTCAAGGAAGGCCTCTTGGGAACGTGTGTTTCAGCACATCCCAGGATGAAAGGAGAAAGCCAGCCATGGGGATATCCAAGTGCCAGGCGTGCTCACCTTGAGGCCTTTGCACTTGTTCCCACCACCAGAGGGATTTCCCTCCAGATCTCTATGGTTTCTTCCCTCCCCTCCTCTAGGTCTCAGCTCAGTTATCACTTCAGTGTGGCCTTCTGTGTTTTCTAAGGTCAGCTTATAAGGAAAAGTTCTAAATACCCAAAAACATGCCCAGAAACCCCACTCTACACATGAGAGACAACACAGTCCTGTACATCACTCATGCCTCACAGAAACTCCCATAAAGGCTTTATCAGTGCAGAGGAGGAAATCCAGGGCAAGGCTGGCTAGTTTTATTTATTTATTATTTGCATTAGGGAGTACTCAAGCCCTCATATGTTAGGCAAGGACTCTACCACTAAGATATATCCCTAGTCCTTTTTGAGGCAGGGTTTTGCTATGTAGCCCAAGCTGCCCTCCAACTTGTGATCCTCCTGCAGCAGTCTCCTGAGTAGCTATGATTATAGATACACATTATTGTGTCCAGCTGAAATAGCTAGGGAAGTCTCAGACTTGGAATTTATGACCCAGAGTTATCCAAGGCACGAATGCTGGGGATTTAGCTCAGTGGTTTCGGCCCCTGCTTCACAAACACAAGGACCCGAGTTCAATCCCAGGTAACCCCCCCCCCCCAAAAAGAATGTGCCTCAGTCTTCCACCTCACCTCAGCCAGTGTCAGGCCTACCTTGCTTCCCAGTGATCTGGGTCCACAAGGACTGGCTGGAACCTGGGGGCCCAGAACCTATCTGACTAGGAGGGATGTGGAACAACAGCCTTCCAATGTCAGCCTTAGAAGCTCATGAGAGGGCTGGGGATTTAGCTCAGTGGTTTCACTGCCTGCTGCGCAAGTGCAAGGACCAGAGTTCGATCCCTGGTACCAAAAAAAAAAAAAAAAAGCTCATGAGATATTTTGAAAGTACTGGGGAACTGTTGGAGAGTCTCTCCAAGAGGACATGGTCAGATTTGTGCTTAGCAAAAACCCTATATGCCAGAATGGTCAGGGCCTGAGGGGTGGGGCCAGACAGAAGGGTCTTGGGCGGGTGTAGGAGTTCAGAAGAGGTGGAGATCCCCTTGGGGAGGGTTCAGGGTTCGAGGCTCCTAGCGCAGGAGATGTGCGAATGGGAAGGACTGAGGAGCCTGTGAAGTTCCCACGAGCTTCTCTCGCTCGGCTTAGAACCCACGTCTCCAAGTCCTGGGAGCAGGAGAAAGTTCCTTAGACAAAAGTTCCATTCATTAAAGTACCAAGCATTCCTGTATGCCTGGCTCTGCTGGCCTCTGCAAAACAAGTATGTAGATAAAAATTTCCCCCTAAAATTAGCAACCCCTTCGTATTACATTTCTTTACTCGAAATGAAAAATAGTTTCCTCCCTCTAACGGGCTTTGCCCAGCGCCTGGCACAGAGCATGAGGGGGCCTGGAACATCTGCTCCTAACTGGCTTTTTTTGTCCTGGTCCTGGAATACTAAGAGGCTTCAGGGGCCCCAGGGTGCCCCCATTCATCCTGGGGTTGGGGAGCGGCTTGGGCCCCTGGTACGTGCGGACGAATTTCCTGCCCGTTTGCTCCTCACACCTTCCGGAGGCCAAATGGGCAGCCCAGCTGCGGCCGCGGGGGAGGGGCGCGCCGCCGGGCAGATGGCGTCATTTACATACAGCTGGGCGTCCCCTCCTCCGCGTCTGAGCGAGGCCAGGAGAGGCGTCTGCGGCGTCTGTGCTGCAGGGCTGGGACGGAGGCTTTGTTTTGGGAGGGGAAACACGCGCGGGAGAGCGCACTCACATGCAAGGGTCCACAAAGAACCCCGGGTCTTCATGAATTCACTCACAGCTACTCCAGTGGACCTCACAAACCCGTCTCACACACACGCACGCGCGCGCGCGCACACACACACACACACACACACGCCATGCTCGCACACACTGCCTGCTACAGGCACTTGCACAAAGTCACAGGTTCAGAAGACTATACACAGTGTTTGTTCCAGGATGGCACAAAACACACGCACACAGGGGCAGCCACACAGCCGCACAATCTCAGAATGTCACACAGTCGTGAGGTCACCTTCACGTCTACTTGCCCACTCAGGTGCACAAACACAGCATCTTAGAATTATTTACGACCTCACAATTCCAGGCACGTGTTGAGCCACGTGCACAGCCCACTTAGAACCTGCTCCAGTAGCCCCTGCGCACATCACACGCACACACCGAACGCTGAAATCATGTGCAATCCATCTCCCACACATCCTACCGGACCCTAGCCCCACTTAGTCTTCTACAGCTACACACAGGGTCACATGCTGGCTACACCGCGGCGCACACACACAATCTCCAAGTTGCTCCCGCTCGGCCTACTTCCCGAGATCCCCTCCCCTTGGTCCCCAGGAGCCAGGAGGCTGCCTGAAGGGGCGGGGCCGACCACTCAGATATAAGGCCCAGGAGCCAGCAGCTGTGACTCCTGAGACCCCTGAAAGGCCATGGTCCGCCTGCGGATGTCCCGGGTCCTGTCTCAGTCGGTGTTCCTGTTGCTCCTTCTCCTTCCCCAGGTCAGAGCTGGGCGGGAGACGGAATGGGAAGGGATAAGTGGGGGTGGGAGTGTGACGCGCAGGTCCTGGGGAGGAAGTGTGGGGCGGCCGACTTCTGGGTCTCCGCGGCTCCTTCACCACGGGTCCCTTTCTGCCCCAGGCACATCCTGCCGGTGTCTTCGAGCTGCAGATCCATTCTTTTGGGCTAGGGCCGGGCCCAGGGCTCCCGCGGTCCCCCTGTAGCGCTCGGGGGTCCTGCCGCCTCTTCTTCAGGGTCTGTCTGAAGCCAGGGGTCTCCGAGGAGGCCGCGGAGTCCCCGTGCGCCCTGGGCGCAGCGCTGAGTGCGCGAGGACCCGTCTACACCGAGCAGCCCGGAGCGCCCGCGTCTGACCTGCCGCTGCCCGACCGCCTCATGCGCGTGCCCTTCCGGGACGCCTGGCCGGTGAGCCCAGGCCTGGGGGCATCCCGGGTGCTGTGCGCCTAACCCTAACACCCAAATCTCGACCTCCTTCTTGCCTCCAGATTCCAAAACCCTAATCGCGCCCCCTGTGGTGGGCAAATTCCCAGATCACTGTATCATCTGGACCCTACATTCCCAACCCCTCAAACCCTACCCACTGGGCCCCCAAATGTTCTGACACCAGCTTTGTGTGCTGGAGACCCCAAATCCCCAGGACTCTAAATTCATTCTCTGGAAATCCTACATTCACAGAGCCTTACCTTGGCTACTTGGGGATGCCTAAAAACTGGGGGCCTCCATCTTTATCCCCAGATCTCCTTGCACCCAGGGACCCTCCCATCCTTGGTCTTGGGGACCTCTAATCTTGTATCTTTTCCATCCTCAGGTCTTCCAGTTGAGGCCTGTATTCAGCTCCAGTATTACCTTCCAAATCCTCTCTCCCCACAATCCCCCCAACACAGAGGTGAACAGGGCAGAATTTGAACTCTAGACCCTTGTCTTAGGGGCATATAACTTCCTTTTTCCAGCCTCCATTTCCTTAGCGGTAAAATGGAGCCCAGCCCGCCTGGTACCTTCTGACAGCCCCCACTGTCTTGAAGTGCTCACCGCATAGTGCTCAACAAAGGAAGCCAAGGATTCGTTCCTCCCCTGGGGCCATGCCCCTGGCAGTTGTTTTGTTTGCTCTGTCCCCAGAATGAGCTGCCACTCTCCCTGCTGGTTTTCACGGGGCCTTTGCCCTCACCACCATCTTCCATTCCCTCTTCCCCTTTCCTCCACCCCACTAGGGCACCTTCTCCCTCACCATCGAGACCTGGCGGGAGGAGCTGGGAGAGCAGGTGGGAGGTGAGTATTGTCAGGTTGGGACTGTGGTGGGGGAGGGGCCCAAGGTGGGATCCAGGACAGTGACCCTGGGGTGACAGCACTGCTGGGCCTTTGCTGTCATCACAGCTTCTGGGCTGTGATGCTGGGGCTCTGGATGTCTCAGGCATAGAAATGTCCCCTACAGGATGTAGAGTCCTGGTACAGGAAGAGCAGCTAAGAAAACAAAATGCTCCAAATTCAAAACTTTTTTTTTTGCGGTGCTGGGGAGCTGGGGAAGGAACCCAGAGCCTCCTGCATGCTAGGCCAGTGCTCTACCACTGAGCTACACTTTTTGAACTCTGATATGATGCCACTCGTAAAAAATTCAACCGCTGACTTCATGGGATGAGGTGCAGTCAAAAGCAGGTGCAAGGGCCAGGGATTTTAGCTCAGTGGTTCCGGTGCCTCCCTCGCAAGGGCAAGGTCCCAAGATCAATCCCCGGTACCAAAAAAAAAAAAAAAAGCTCATGAGATA